GTTAACTTCTTGAGGGATGAGCAAAAATCCTTCCGATCTTCTCTTTTTAATTTCCTAATACACAATCTCCTCAGTTGGGTTAGCTTCCCTATCTCTCTCACTATTGTATTGTCACCCATTTGGTTTGCCTCTATATAACAAAGCTTCTGTAGGGACGATAAGCATCCTATTTTGTATGAAGCCTTAAAGGTTTGAGCATAATCAAAGGGCTGGTCATAATCTACCGTTTCACTATTATATTTATATACTAAGAGTTGTCGAAGCCTTTTGAGTTTTAGGATCTCAATTGGTAAAGAAATGACCTGAGTGTGTTTAAGATCTAAAGTCTCTAGACATTGAAACTGTCCAATTGACTCTGGAATGACCTTGACCTCTATTAATGCTAGTTGATACTTTTGCTGTCCAAAGATAGTGTATTTTGTAGTACTTGTTTGGAGTATATTTTAATGTATTTGTGTATTTAAAAATCTGTCATAGTATGGCCATATGTAATGCCATATAATCTATCTAAAAGCATGGCAATGGCAGGTAGGTGCTGGTTGATGAAAATGGTCAGAACACTTTTGCTATATATATTTTCTAATGTACCAGCCAAGTATGTAAGATATATATTGAATATTATTTCAGAAAATCTTCATCCTTCTTCTTAGTTACTCAATTTTTACATCAGTGGTATCAGAGCAGATCTGATCTTAGAAGAAGCTGAAAAAAATGGGAGATAGGTTCAAGAAAAAACCAGCAGACCTTCACAACATAACCAACTGATTCTTGAGAGTTTTAAGGATGGCTTCAAGTGGTTTCTCAGCACCTATTTATAGGTGAAAATTATGATTTTTGGGCAGCAAAAATGAAGGCTTACCTGAAGGCATACGACCTGCGGGAGATAACTAAAATTGGAAGTGAACCACCGGCACTTAGAGCAAATCCAACAATTGCTCAACTTAAGCAACATAGTGAAGAAGTTGCTAAGAAGTTTAAGGCTCTCTCATGCATCCAATCTGCTGTTTCTGATGCCATCTTCACAAGGATAATCACTTGTGAAACGGCCAAGGAAGCCTGGGACAATTTGAAGGAGGAATTCAGGGACAATGCAAGAACACGGCAAATGCAAGTGTTAAACCTAAGGAGGGAGTATGAAACTTTGAAGATGAAAGACTCAGAATCAGTTAAGGAGTATGCTGATAGGCTGTTGAAGGTTGTAAATCAGATAAGGCTGCTAGGAGATGATCTGCCTGACAGAAGAATTGTGGAGAAAGTGTTGATCAGTTTGCCTGGAAAATTTGAGGCAAAGATTTCATCTCTTGAGGATTCAAGAGACTTGTCCACCATCACCTTATCAGAATTGGTGAACGCTTTGCAGGCCACTGAACAAAGAAGGCTGATGAGGCAAGAAGAATAGGTGGAAGGGGCTTTGGTTGCTAAAGGGAGATATAAGGCTCAAACTAGTTTTGGGACTAAAAAGTAGCAAGATGAACGAAAGAAGGGGGAAAGCAGCAAAGGTGCAAGCAAAAGTGGAGCTTATCCACCTTGTGTTCATTGTAAAAAGACAGGGCACTCTCCCAAATGGTGCTGGTACAGACCTGAAGTTCAATGCCGAAGTTGTAAGCAATTTGGACATATTCAAAAGGTTTGTAAAAGCATAAAAGACAAGCAATCAAAGCCTCAAGCTCAAGTGGCTGAAAATCAGCAACAAAACCAGGAAGAGCACCTGTTCACAACCATCAATTTTAAAGCCAGCAGTAGTGTGGAGAATTGGCTGTTAGACAGTGGCTGTACTCATAATATGATATCAGATGCAAGTATCTTTGTCGAGTTGAATGATGCCTACAGATCAAAGGTTAAAGTTGGCAATGGAGAACATGTGGAAGTCAGGGAAATAGGTGTTATTTCAGTTCAAACACCATCAGGTACCAAACTCATTTCTGATGTTCTTTTTGTGCCAGAAATTGACCCGAATTTAATTAGTGTTGGTCAATTAATTGAGAAGCAATATACATTGATCTTCAAAGGAGATGGTTGTACCATATTTGATTCAAAAAATCAGGAGCTAATGTCTATCAAAATGAAACAAAGAAGCTTTCCATTGGAATGGAAAAATGTGAAAAATCAGGCACTTTCTTGCACTGTGGTTGATTCCTCTTTATGGCACAAACGATTTGGTCATGTAAATTACACATCATTGAAGCAATTGCACAATCTAGAACTTGTTGAAAACATTCCAGATGTAGGTGATGAAACATGTATATGTGAGGTGTGTCAAAAGGGCAAACTAACCAGAATGCCATTTCCTAAAAATCTGTCAAGAAGAGCTATAAATAAATTGGAATTAATACATTCTGACGTGTGTGGTCCAATGAATACACAGACACTTAATGGCAGTAAGTACTTCATACTCTTTATTGATGATTCAACCCAAATGTGTTGGGTGTTTTTTCTAAAACTGAAATCAGATGTGGCAGCTGTATTTCAGAAATTCAAAAAACAAGTGGAAAATGAATGTGACAGCAAGATAAAGGCCATTAGGACTGATAACGGGACCGAATATGCAGCTAGTTTGATCATTTTTGTGATGATATGGGGATAAAGCATCAGCTCACAATCCCATACTCACCTCAACAAAATGGCATCTGTGAGAGGAAGAAGAGAATAGTCATGGAGATGGCAAGATGTCTCATGTTTGAAAAGAATTTTCCCAAAGAATTCTGGGCAGAAGCTGTTAGCACAGCTATGTATCTTTTAAACCGACTTCCTGCTAAAGCATTGGAAAGAAAAACTCCCTATGAAGCCTGGTATGGAACAAAACCAGATGTGGCACATTTAAAGGTTTTTGGAAGTGTTTGTTACACTCATATACCTGAAGCAAAGAGGGATAAGCTTAGCCAAAAAGCTGAGGTTGGTGTTTTAGTTGGCTATTGTAGTAATGCAAAAGGATATAATGTTAATATTCCACAAACCAAAAAGATAATATCCAGCAGAGATATTAAAATTGATGAAAGTGCTACCTGGAATTGCGATACAAGAAGCCTGGAAAACCAGCAAGTTCCAAGGCTAGTTGCTCATGAAATTGAGGACACTATCATAATGGAGAGGAACCAGTTGGTCCAGATCAAGATAGTGACTCAGACTCAGAAAATATTGTGCTAAAGACAAGACCCCTTGCTGATGTATATGCTAGATGCAACTCTGCCATACTAGAGCTATCGAATTTTGCTGATGCTGTGAGTTCACAGGACTGGTTGGCAGAAATGAAGGAAGAACTAAATATGATTGAAAAGAATGAGACTTGGGAACTGGTTGACAGACCAATTGATAAGCACGTGATTGGGGTCAAGTGGGTGTTCAAAACCAAGATGAACCCTGATGGATCAATAAACAAGTTCAAAGCCAGATTGGTAGTGAAGGGGTATGCACAGCAGTTTGGAATCAATTTTGCTGATACATTTGCACCAGTTGCAAGATATGAAACTATCAAGTTGTTTGCAATTGCAGCTCAGAGAATGTGGAAGATACATCAGTTGGACGTAAAATCTGCTTTTCTAAATGGGCACTTAAATGAAGTAATCTACATTGAACAATCGGAAGGCTTTGCAGTGGCAGGTGAGGAAGACAAAGTGTATCTATTAAAAAAGGCTTTGTATGATTTAAAACAGGCTCCAAGGGCCTGGTACAACCGCATTGATGATCACTTGTGCTGTTGGGATTTGTTAAAAGTGTAAATGAGCAAACACTTTACATAAAATATGTGGAAGAAGGAATGATCATCATATCCTTATATGTTGATGATTTGCTAATAACCGGTAGCAATTGCACCTTGATTGAAAAAGTGAAGGAGGCATTAAATAAAGGTTTTGAAATGACAGCTCTTGGTGAGATGCAATATTTTCTAGGAATGGAAATTGAACAAACTAAGGAAGGTATCTTTGTTTGCCAAAAGAGATATGTCAAGGAAGTGTTGAAGAAGTTCAATATGGAAAATTGCAAATCGGTTAGCACTCCATTAGTACAAAATCTAAAGTTAATGAAGGAAGATGGTACTAAGAGAGTGGATGAAAAGATCTATAGAAGTCTAACCGGTTGCTTGCTCTATCTTACAACAACAAGACCAGATATCACCTATCCTACAAATTTGCTGCCCAGATTCAGACAAGAGCTAAGTGAATTACATTTTCAAGCGGCAAAAAGAGTCCTTAGGTACATAAAAGGATGTGAGAATCTAGGGATTTGGTTCAAGAGATCAGAGGACTTGGTTTTAACTGGTTATATAGATAGTGACTGGGCAGGTTCAGTAGATGACATGAAGAGTACCTTAGGCTATGTGTTTTATGTTGGTTCAAACATTGTGTGCTGGAATTCGATGAAGCAGAAGACTGTGGCACAATCAACTGCTGAAGCGGAGTATATAGCAGCATTTGAGGCAACAAACCAAGCTGTTTGGTTAAGGAAAATGTTGGAGGATCTTGAACACATACAATCTGATGCAACAGTCATTTATTGTGACAACAAATCAATGGTTGCAATGGTAAAAAATCTAGTATTCCATGGGAGAACAAAACACATAAAGATTAAGTATTATTCAATTAGGGAAGCTCAAGAGAGGCTGGAAATAAAGCTTGTGCATTGCAATTCAAGTGAGCAATATGCTGATATCTTAACAAAAGCTTTGTCCAGAGGAAAGTTCGAAACATTGAGGAGTTGCTTTAGTGTTTCCAGCAAAAGTCTCAAGGAGGAATGTTAATGCTAGTTGATACTTTTGCTGTCCAAAGATAGTGTATTTTGTTTGTTTGGAGTATATTTTAATTTATTTGTGTATTTAAAAATTTGTTATAGTATGGCCATATGTAATGCCATATAATCTGTCTAAAAGCATGGCAATGGTAGGTAGGTGGTGGTTGATGAAAATGGTTAGAACACTTTTGCTATATATATTTTCTAATGTACCAGCCAAGTATGTAAGATATATATTGAATATTATTTCAGAAAATCTTCATCCTTCTTCTTAGTTACTCAATTTTTACATCAACCTCTATCCCCCTGAGACTCAAATACGTAAGATGATAAAGTTTGAAAACTTCACTTGGGATCTTTCCTAGTGGAGCATCTCTTAAGTCCAATACCATTAGCAACTTTCGACTACCTGACAGTAGCTCCGATAAGAATGATTCAAATCGCAGCTCCGATGAGAATGATTCAAATAGTGAATATTCGGATACTGTTAATATCAGTGATCGTAGATATTTCAACCTATTAATTTCTAGGTGGCCGCTGTCTACGGAAGTACGTATTGCCAACCTTCGAACTTTATCAGGCAACTCTGAATCTCTTCCGATTCCTGTGCTCACAATATTCTACTCATTTGACTTAGAAGCAAGAATTTCATGTACAATATCATGGATACGACATAGTTTTACCCTTCCATCTGGATATCTCTCTACAACTTGGATTAGGCTTCTATTAATAAGCACCTCAAGATAACGAAGTGCAACCTCTTCTTTTGTCAACCTTTCTTTCCCTTGCACAAATCCTTTAGCTATCCATAAACGAATCAATATCATACAGTCAATCATATGATCTTCAGGGAAAATGCTCAAGTGCAATAGACAAGTCCTGAGATCGTAAGGCAAATCATAGTAACCTAGAAGAAGTACCTGTCGTATTCTTTCAAAGTTAGTACTATCTTCAAGGAAAATGCTCGAGTACAATAGACAAGTCTTGAGATAGTAAGGCAAATCATGGTAACTTAGAAGAAGTATTTGTCGTATTCTTTCAAGGTTATCGCTATAACCATGTAGCTTGGTGTTAAGGTAGCTACAAACTGTACTCCACTCCTCTATGTTGTTCTTGTCCTTCATATCCAATAGACCACCAACAACATCAATGGCAAGAGGCAAACCCTTACATTTATCCAATATGCCATTTGTAGAGTCTTTTAGATGTCGGGGGATGGTTTCGTTTCCAGTCTTGTTACAAAGTAGTTTACAATAGTCTTCATCAGATAAGGCCTCCATTTCATGGACATAGCCCGGATATTCCGTCCCACTGGCTAAGTTAGCCACATCGAGTATCCGTGTAGTGAGCACTACACGACTACTCATATTTTTGTCAGGTAGTGCATGCTTAAGAGCATCCCATGAATCAGTGCTCCATACATCATCAAAAACTATAATATACTGACATTCAGAGAGGAATTTCTTGACAAGTTCTTTCAATTCAACCTCTTGTTTGAGTTCCTGAGGTATAGGTTCCTTGATTTCATCGGGCAACTTTCGAATCAAGTCTTTGAGAAGCTCCATGATGGGAACGGACCGAGAAACAGTGATCCAAGCATGGCACCAGAATTTTCCTTTCACTCGTTCATCCTCGTAAATCCGTTTAACCAATGTGGACTTCCTCGATCCTCCCATTTCCCACACAGAAATAGCTTTAAGCCGAGTTTCATCATCAAGAAGCTCTTTAATGAGCAATTCTTTTGGCCTGTCAATTCTTACAAGCTTAGCTTCGTCCACCAAAAGTGCATCATTACGCCCATCAAACAATAAGGTAGACCTAGATCTCAGCGGTGCAACATTTTTTATTTGGTACCTCTCACGTGCTTCAAAAATGTTCGTGACCCTTCCCTTGATGTTTTCCAAATCAGACGCAATATTATGGGCACTCTGAGCTTCTTTAAAAAAATATAGATCTCCTGGACACAGCAGCAGAATACATCTTCTGCACAAAGATTTGCAAGTTGTAACATAAATGTGTCGATGGCATCTTTAGCATCATAAGCAACCCCCCTCACTTGTTTAACCCATGCTTGGAGTTGAGGATTGCCATCTTGTGCATCAGCACCTTGCAAAAAAGGCCGCATTAGCTCCAGTTGATCATGGATATACATGAAGTTTTCATCAAGACTTCCTAATAGTTGTCTCTCTTCTTGGATCAGTGTTGCTAGCTGATTCACTAGAAATGATACTACGCTCTCTGTCATTCTTTTGTGTCTAGTTAATTGCAGTTTCTTGGAGGGTTGACGACGACTGAACGGACAATTGGAAAGCAAATACAATTAAGATTAAGAGGAAATTGAATAGGTTGTCAATTTTTGCCTTGACATTGGAGGTTAAATAATCGACCCACGCGTCTTGTAGGGCCACCTACAGACAAGCCATGTCTCGGAATTATTCTCGTCTTCTTTATTATTATTCCAATTCCAAAAGTTCATACTTTAAAATGTTCAAGTTGTCCTTATCAACTTTGCCTATAGATGATATTCTTTCTTTTTTCTTTTAATTTCTAGGTGCTATTCTAACAATAGTGTACTACAATCATTTTGCATGATTGATTGACTATATTTAATATAATTTTTAGAGTGTGACATGAATATCATTTTGAACAATTTGAATGCATTTCCCGTCGTCCCAAGTGATAAATCAATATTTTTTTCCCGTTGTGTAATACAATTCTTTCGCTTTTCGATAAACGTAAAAAAATTCAGCGTACTTATCTACGAACATCACAGGCTTGACAAATATATGAAGAATAAAATTAACGTACAAATGTAACAATTTTAAATTGGAATAGGCCAATAATAGGGACGGGCCATAAAGTAAAAAGGATAGCCCGGGCCAACCAAAAAGGCAACGATACATCAGCAATACATGTTACTAAAACTACCCCTACACTCACGTTTAAATATCAACAATGCCGTTTGGTGACTTTGTTAAAACGGGTCATGTTGGTCCAAGCATCCTCGTCTTGTATTGCCACCTATAGACGGGCCATGTTGCGAAATTGTTCTCATCCTTTTTATTATTATTTTTCTTTTAATTGGGCTGGCTCTTTTTTAATTAAATCCTCCATTCGATCCACATTTTTTCTCTCATAATGCATTTTTTTTACACCACATCATGGTGGGACCTCTGCATTATTATGCCTCTTTCATATGTGACATATGAAACTACATTTCCCATTATACCCTTTTGTCATTTTATAGTGAACCACAAGCTAACCCATATGAAATTATTTGAATAGTCAAAGGCTGTCATTTCCCTAATTGATGTCAAAGCTACAACACACGTGTATCACATACTGCCCATCGTTACCGATAGAAATAAGAAAATAAATGACCATGGAAAAAGCCCACAAATAATTTAATTCGAGCAAAACAGACGTTGAACAATTTGAATGCATTTGACGTCGTCGCAAGCGATAAATCAATTTTTTCCCCATTGTGTAATACAATTCATTCGCTTTTCGATACATGTAAAAAATTTCAGTACACTAATCCACAAACATCACAGGCTCGACAAATATTTGAAGAATAAAATTAACGTACAAACGTAACAATTTTAAATTGGATTAGGCCGATAATAGGGACGGGCCATCAAGCAAAAAGATAGCCCGAGCTCACCGAAAAGGCCACGATGCCTCAACAATACGTGCTACTAAAACTACCCCTGCACTCACGTTTAAATATCAACAATGC